GAGGGGAATTTTATCTTTTTTTTTTTTAAATTAAATTACAAAACTGCCCTTAAAAAAATCTCAAGATTCAAGTTTAAATGAGATTTTATTTTCCTGCTACTCCCTATCAGAGTATCGCGTGGGGCAAAAAATGAAAATGGAGGTAGAGCTCCTAGAAGGAAAACCTAGAACACCTAACCCCATCTCGTGATTCCATCGCTTCTCTCACCATCCTCCCCTGCCCGTGTGTTCATTGGCGACTTGTGTGCTGTGGGTGTGCTAGTAATGTCGATGTCGGCATTTCTTCCTTCAAGCTCTGCCATTCTATCTTCTTCTTTGCTCTGATTGGTGCCTCCGTAGCTTGGAAAAGATTAAGCTCTATTCTTTTTTTTTTTAATCTTCCTTCATAGTCGCTGCTACCAGGGATTTATGTAAGCTAAAATCTTTTATTTATTTTGCTTGAGTAACAGTGTATTTGAGAGGAGTTTCATTATTCGTCTCCCCCGTTTTGTTGTAGTGGGGAGGGTGTTGCAATGAGTTTTGATAAATTTTGGGTTTTATGGATTATATAATGTTTATTTGAATATGGATGCTGAAACATATATACTTCTGTTCATATAGTAGAAATGATTCACGGCTGCCGACTTGTAGATTACATTTGGTTGTTGAGTCAAGTTGAATGCCTATAAGGTGTTTGACGAAATGTGTGAATAAAGAATGAGGGAGATTTTGTTTGGTTTAGACTTGAGGGACTGAAGTATGTGGATATGTTTATATTAATATTTTGATGATTTCAAAAGAAGAACTATGGAATCTAATTACTTGTCATGTTAATAACGTTGAGAAATTAACTTGTGTAGCTTTGTGTTGTATTTAGGATGTTTGTAGTAGCTTGGCTAGTAAGTAGAACATGATAATGAAGGTAACCCGTTATTTGGATGCTCAAGGGCTATATGGTTGTTGATTTTTATAGCATGATATTTATTATGTGAGTTCAGCTAAGATGTGCTTGGAATAGCTGTCCAATCTTGTGGAAGAATTTAACTAAACTGAGATTAATGGATATTTATAAATTGACTGATGGAATGATGTAACAAAGGAGTTGGATTATTGTGCAGTATTATTGAGTTGAATTAGAAAATGTTTTTGAAGATATAATATCCATATATGAAACTCTACAGAAATTTAAATGAAATCCCTTGAATGTTGGCATTGAGTGAAACATTTATATACATAAGCTCACATCTTTTTAATTTATTGAGACTTACTGGAGAAGAAGAATTAAGTAAAATTTCATTGAATAAATTGTTATTAAAAATTCTTTTGTTTCTGTGACACCAAGAGATTTAGGAGTAAGCACATTGCAGACTTTTATAAACGAAAATAAGTAGTATGATTAAGATAAGTAGTTGTTTAATGAATAGCGCTTCATGATAATTTTTATAAATAATATGCTTTTTTAATGTTATATTTGTTTATCTTATCAATGTTTTTGTTTTAAATATTATTTGATTGAAAACAGGTTTGTTGGAACTATAACATTTGCTTATTGATATTTGAATGCCTGGACGAAATAATGATTTTGAGCAATGATTTATATATTTTGAAAATGTCCATGTATGAACTTATATTGTTTGAGAAGAATCCTTCTTTAGTAACTAACGGAATTTGAAAGAAAGTTTTGAAAATGTTATTTGAAAACTTTCATGCTGGGATTATTTGTTATAACATATTCTTTCTTTATAAGATTTCATTACGGGATACAGATATCTTTCATTTAATGGTATATTGATCTCATGCATGCTTGAAAATGTTTTTTTTCCTTTGAGGACTGAATACCAACACTAGTTGCTAACAGTAGTATTGTTAGCTCTTGGTGCACCATGGTTAATATCGAACTCGCTTGTTATTCGTGGTTTTAGCAGCGCTTGTTATTCATGCACATTGTTTTTACGCTTGTCTCGTGGCTCTAGCTGCACTCGTCATTTGTGGCTTTAGTTGTACTTGTCATTCATGCTTGAATTCGTGGCTTTAGCCACGCTTGTTGGTTACTTACCCTCATGCATTATGTATCCATGCTTGTTACTCATTCTATTGAAGTCCTCAACTGAAAAGAGTTTTTGACACTATTTCGTGATTTGAATTTATAAATAAAGTTTTTTTTGTGTTGGGTTTAAGTTGCATATCAAAACCTCTTTATATATTTTCTTTTATGTTTTCATGGCTCATTAAGAATTTAAAAGCAATGGTAAATTATTTATTTTACATGATTATATTGCATCATTTATTCTTTTAGCACTTCCTTTACCTTATTTTTATTAATGGGAACTATTTTGTCTCTGTACCTCCAATTGAACAGCAAAGATGATCATTATTAATCAAAGCTTGTTGATACGTTTCAGAATATCTTTTAATGATGTAAATCTAAGTTTACATTTTAGTATTTATTTTTGCAGTTCAGATGCTCCATGTAATTTATAGGCAGGATCCCTACTTCCTTTTGATACATTGGGATAAATGTATATGTATATTGTGGTTATGGAACGAAGCTCTATTTTGCTGCTCGACTAATGGGCTGTTTTAGAATTTTCACAAAAAAAAGAAGAAGAAGAGAGATTACAAGGAAAGCTCTTCCAAAATCTCTACCCTAAAAAAAAGAAAAAACTTACTATTGTGACAATAAGAAATAAATCTATATATGAACTAGAAATAATGGATGAACCCTTAAGATTTTAGTAATTATTATGTCAAGCATTTGTTTGTATGTCTTAAATGCTTTAAGAATGTGAGTTCTCATATTCCCTGCCGGTCACCCTTAATCTTCAGGGCGTGACAATATAGATATGTATAATTTAAAATGCAGATCTGGCGAGAGGGATGATCTACATCAACTCATTTGTTATCTATATAATGCTTCTTTATTTTCCTTTCTTCTCCACCTAATCTTTGATCTCTCCACTCATCTTTATTTCTTCAAGATTTGGTTGGTGAAATCACATACAATCTCATTTTTCTGCTATTTCTTCAGTAAGGCTCCGGTTCTTTGTGTCATTTACTTTTTTTTTTTTGGCTAGATCCCTTCCTTTTTCATCTTGCCATTATTATTGTTTCTGTTCTTTATTTTAATCCCAAATCTGTAGCTGCTTGCCTCGTTATACCTCCTCTCTTCAAAAACTTTCGACCTGAGTCTATTCCGATTCCTCACGCTAATCAATACTCAATCTCTTTTTATATCTCTTTTCGTATTTATTGAGCCAAAAAGCAAGTCTGTCTTTCGCTTTTGCTCATTCTTCAAACGCTTTTTTGCTGACGGGTTGTTGAAGTTGAAACTTCCTTGAATTTTCGTTTGGGAAGAAAGATCAAGGAGGATGTATGGTCTACTTGGTTACTATATAATGCCTCTTTGTTTTGCTCTCTTCTCCACGCTCACCTCTGCTTCTTCAAGATTTGGTCTGGGTGAAGTTACAGTCTCATTTTCCTATTTCTTTCATTTAGTAAGCCTCTGCTTCTTTGACATCATTAACCTCTTCAAGTTTTTTCCTCCTCTTGGGTGTCCTTGTTTTATGTTCTTTTCGGGGTTCGTGTTTGGTCTGGTCTTCCATAACTAAATCACGTCATTTAAATTAAATTTGGGAAGGGTTTGAATTTAGAAGTCATTTGAAAAAATATAGGCTTTGAAAAATATGTTAAATTCGTTTACATTTCTCTTGTGGCTTTGGTCACGAGTTTGACTGCCTTAATGAAATTATATATGTACGACAGGAAAAGAAGTAAGAGCTTTCTTGTTCCTAATTTATATTTCCGAGTCACTGTTTGGATAAATATTCATTTACAAGGAAAATATAGTTGTCTTCAGATATAGGTTACCGTTTGTGGATGCTAGAAAAATGAAAATCAATCATTTGCACGTACAGTTTGGCTTAAACCAACAATCTTGAACGCATAATTTTTGATATTATGTGTGTATTAGCGTTCCCAATAATTATGTTATTTAACTTTTTTATGGAAGTCATGTATATACATTCTTGATGGGCATCTTGTTTGGTATGCCTCGACTTCCATAACTGTAACTTGCATATATGTATATGTATATCTAATTTACACCATTTGAATTTAATTCGCAAGAGACAATGAGTTCGTCGGTTGACACCCAAGGAAGGGATTTAAAGCTGAAGAAACTACAAAGCGCTGTCAGGAGAGGAAAGTGGCCAGAAGTATTTGAAACGTGCCTGCAAGACAGGCAGCTTTTCAAGGAGGACATACCGGGGACAAAAGGCACAGTGTTACATATAGCTGTGTCTAATAGGCAAGAGAAGGAGGTAGCAAAAATAGTTGATTTCTTAGTTGACCAAGGGCTAATGGATATTCTTGAGGCAAAGAATAATAGAGGGAACACACCTCTACACCTAGCAGCAATAATGGGGAATGTTGAAATGTGTGAGAAGATAATAATGGGGTATGTTAAAATGTGTAAGAAGATTAGCCCAGAAAAACCCTCCTTAATTGCTGAAGGCAACACCGAAGGTGAGACACCACTTTTCCTAGCGGCTCTCTATGGCAGGAAAGAAGCTTTTCTTTGGCTTCACTACTATCTTTATGGGGATAGCTCTCAAGTTTCTTCCAGCCGCCATGCCCCCTATAAAAGGAAAGATGACGATACCATTCTTCACTGTGCAATAGAGCAAGGGCATATTGGTAAATAGAAACAATTATTCATTATTTAATATATGCCCATGTTTTAATCATGTATTATTCATTAAGTGCATTTGGTTTGCTTTGATTTTAATTTACAGATTTGGCAATTGAAATAATTCACCTTTATAAAGATCATCTGAAAGAGATGACGAAGCGCAACAAGGAAGGGTTGTCTCCACTTCATCTCCTAGCAGCACAACGTTCAGCTTTCAAAAGTACTGCCCTCCTGGAACGATCAAACCTTGTTCGTCCAATTTATTGTAAGTTCTCTTGTCTGTGAAGGGAATGTAATGTGTATGTGATATAAAAGCACAGTCCTTGTTGAGATGGTTCGGACACATATAAAGAAGACCATTGAATGTGTTCGTGAGGAGAGTAAATTATCAAGTAGGATGGAGTCCTAAAAGGGTAAAAGAAGGCCAAAGAGAACGCTTAATAAAATTATTAAGTGAGACTTTTTGATTAATAATTTAACAAAAAATCTGTTTGTTGATACAATATAATGACATCGTGTGATTTATATAGCTAACACCAGCTAAAAAGGATGAGGCCCATCATTTGTTGTTGTTATATTAAGGGCCAAGCAAAATTTCTAGAATGTGTCTCATCATAAAGACGATGCAGCGAATTATACTTTATATATCTAAATAATAAAATACGTGTGACTTGTTTGTTTGGTACTTGGAAGGGATTGTGGGAGCTAAGAAGAAGAACCAGGCCACGACGAAGGAAGAACTGGAGCGTGATCGCCAACCGTGTGTGAAGGTCATCTATGATACATTGAAGGAGTATGTTACAGGTAAGTAATATTTACAAGCTTTGTCATTCATAAGTGCAATATATATGGAGAATTGAATGATGGGTACTCGTGAGGCTTTTGTATTGGATTAATATTCTCTTACACCGACAGAGGAGAGAGTTTTAAATGAAAATCATAAGACATGTATTAAATGAAAATCATGTATTATTCCTGTCCTTATTATAAGCCACTTGTAACTCATTCTCACGTGCTAAAGAATGCATTAAATTCATAAAGTTTTTCAAATTTACCCTTATTAAATTTTTCCCCCTCCTTCTCTGTATTTACAAATCATTCCCGCTTCTCTCTCATTTCTCTTTCTTTCCAATGAGAATTAAATGAAGATAGCATTAAAAAACAATCATTAAATACACTAAAGTGACTTATAATAAGATCTGGAGTGGTATATATGAGCACAAGAACATGGGACGCACACTACTATTTCCGGTGAAAATTCAAGCCAAATCATTAGGAAGAAAAAGTTTGTGAATTTCATCCTTATGCATGATTCTCCTTTATTATTTTCTAAAACAGGTACCCCATGTCATTTACATGCATGCATGTTTGTGTGATTTACTTTTTTTTTTTTTAAATCTTACTTCCCAATCGATTACTCGACTACACACAACAATTAATTAGAACAGATTTTTTCTTGTAAATATACCTGGAGTACAAATAAAACCGGAAAGAGGGAAGTACAAGTGGGTCTCCCCTTACACGTGAGACCCATCAAAACACATTCTTCATTCTCTTTTTACACGTTTGGTTTTAATTATTTGCGGGAAAAAGTCTAAAATGAACGTATCTTATTTTAAGTATATATAATTATAAATTGCTTTTGAATAATGAATTTTCTTAAAACATTTTGTCTATGCTGACCTACATATGGGTCCTGAATAGTCCTAGGGAGATGGCTCCAGCAGATATGGTCGCCTCAGATAATATCGAGAAGAGCCTCTGATCCGGAGCATATAATTTCCGTGCAGACAGAAGAGGAGGACGGTAAAAAGATTCATGAAAGTTCCAAGAGGAACATATTTTATTTTAATTATATATGTTTATAAATTGCTTTTTTAAATAATAAATTTCTTAAAACAACAATTTTGTCCCTGACAGATTTTCATATAGTTAAGACACTGACAGATTTTCTGACTTCATTAATATTTGCAGAAAATGAAGAAAACATTTCGGTCGTCCTTAAACATTCGTGGCAGCTGTTCCTCCGGCTGATCCTGATTTTACCATCCTCACTTGTGGCAGGTATGTCATGCGTGTGTGTATATATATAGGCGCGTGCACCCATACAGAGAGACACGCTGATGTAATTTGCAGGAATGGAATATCATAGAAATTCTTATTCAAATTATCCAAAATTCTGGATCCTAATATTAACATTATATATATAGGTATAATTTTTAATTTTAATATTAATATATATTATATATAGTATATAATTATATATAATTAATATTTATTAATTTATTGTGTCATCTATCCTAAATCTAATATTAAAGTTTCGGTGCCAAGTGGAGGCATAAGTATCTATAACTCATTATATATGACCACTGTGCACCATCTAGCTAGATCTAATCTGGATGATCCTAAATAATCGTTATTTTTTATTTTTATTCTTGAGAAAAATTATTTGATTGTGCATAGAATATGAAATAAAAATAATTTCTTTTTCAAAAAATAATTTTTAATTTAAATAAAATTTTAAATCTAACAATTAAAATTGTATTTAAACTATACAAACCACAATGATACTCATCATTAGAACTAGTTTTGGTACTTATCACAGTAATGAGCACATAATGCTAATCAAATCTAAACCATTCAAATTTAATATGGATGGTCGAGATTTAATTTTTTCTTATTTTCTTAAAAACCTTTTTCCTTTAAAAGGCACACACTCCAAAATAAATATAATTTCTTAAATGTATGGTTCCTAAAAATAATTTTTTTATTTAAAAATTATTAGTTAAAAATTTTAAATTTAGGCTATTAAAACTATATCTGAATGATATAGATTTCATTGCAACAATAATGACCATGACAGTCCTCATTACTATAATGAGCACCGAAACTGGTTTCGGTCTCATCATTACGATGAGCATTGAACCCGAAACTGTTTCCATAAATTGTATTGATTAATGACTATCTCTGAATAACTTGCGCGCTATATTTATCTATCTATATATCTGCTGCATATTCCTAGCATTGGCACACCCCTCGCTCTCTATATATACATATATATGTTCCCACTCAAAATTTTTTGATGCGGCGTACATATGTTGAATTTCATAAGAATCGTAATAATAGTAACATGGCCCCCATAAGTTACGAATGTGAACCCACTCAAATTAGTTGAATACGCACACAGATTTTTATTTAATATTCTAATATCAACTAGCTAATTAAATTTTTAAGTGCTATGTCATTTACACTTTTCTTTTTTATTACTTGGCTCTTTTTCTTGTTTTTCCATGCCTTATATGACTACAGACAACATTTAACGCTTCTCTGTAGATAAACTTTGAGTATAAACAAAAAGGGAGAGAGGAATAGTGGGTGTCTCATCTAACATGTGAGATCTACCAAAGTACTAGTATATTTTTCTCTCCGTCTCTTGACATGTTTGGTTGAAAGTTAGATCTAAATCTGGAAAGAAACCGTTTTGGGAATAAAAAGTCTCTCAATTGAAAATATTTCATTTTAATTATAATATAATTATAAATAGCTTTTTCAAAAATATTTTTTTTTTTTAGAACACTTTGTCCCTGCTGACCCACCGGTCCTTGATATTCCTAGGAATATGGCTGCATCGGATACAAAAAATGAAGGAGAAGCACACATGGTCGCTTCAAATAATGAATGAACTTCTTCAACTTGCTTCTGAGGAAGATATGTCGCAAATAATATCAAGAACCCCGTCTCAACAGCTTTCACTGCAAACAAAAGAGAATAAGGGTAAAAACACATTTCTTGAAAATTCCAACATGTTAAAGCATTATGAATGTCCTTTTCATGTGCAGAAGTTAGCATTTTAAGAATCATAAATCATTATTCACCTACAATGACCGTCACAAAAAAAATTTTACGACTGATTTATGATGCATTTGTGAATTTTCTATCACCAAATTAAAGATAAAATATCGAGTAAATAATAATGGTCTAACCTTATAAGGTTAGAACAATCTCGCATGCAGTTATCTTGGATGTTTATTTACGAATGTGCTGTGACGCTACGGGTTCAACACTAACTCAGCTAATATTCTTCCTTTCATTCCACTCTCATCCATAATATATACCTATACACACACACACACACACACACACACACACACACACACACACACACTCATTGTAATTCTTTTATACTCATTTTTCCTAAATATATACTCTTGCCATGGTATATGAGCATATTTTTCTACCAAAAAATAGCCTGCAATCATAAACTAATTTTGTGATTGGGACTATGAATGGCATTGGTGGATAGGGTCCATGTCAATGGCAACACCAGTGTTTGGCACAATAACAATTGAGACACCCCTAATGATTGCTGCCAAGAATGGTGTGGAAGAAATGGTGAAGGAAATTCTGAAATTATTTCCCCTGAGGATTGAAGATATGAATGATGACGGAAAAAATATAGTTCTACTGGCGATAGAATACAGGCAAACAAACGTATACAGCTTTTTACGTGAACAGAAATGGCCAAATGAGAATTTGTTTTGGCAAGTAGATAAAGACGGAAACAATGTATTGCATTTGGCAGCGAGGCTTGGAGTGGACCCTGATTGGCTCAATCCTGGGGAGGCACTCTCCATGTCAACGGAAATCAAATGGTTTGAGGTATGTATCCATGTAATTTGTACTACAGTCCACATGGGAATTGAAATTTTTATCAAGAAATTCTTAATTATTAATGAATAAATTAAAGCATGTCATTATTTAAAGTAGGTGGATCTATATATGGTGATGCAGTATATGAAGCATTCAGTACCCCATGGTTTGCTGGAAAGATACAATAGGGAAATGAAGACACCGAATGACATTTTCAAAGAGAGTCATAAGGAGCTTATGAAAACCGAGGGAGAGTGGGTGGCTAAAACCTCACAAGCATGTTCTGTGGTGTCGACCCTAGTTATGTCTGTGGCCTTTGCCGCTCGTGACACTGTGCCAGGCGGTTATGATAGCACTGGCCATGCAATCCTTAGAAACAAGCCACCAGCATTTAAATATTTTTCAGCCTTCTCAGTTACGGCCCTGTCCTTCTCCCTGGTGTCTACCATTTGCTTCTTGTCAACCGTAGTTGCTTCTCCTTCCCAATCTGTGCACTCTTGGAAACATGTTCCTATCAAACTTTACTTTGGCATGTGCTCCATGTTTGCCTCCATTGTTTCTTTATGGATCTCTTTCTGTGGTGGCTATTTCTTCACGCTGGATGATGACAGTCAAAAGTTGTCCCATGCTCTTGAACTTTATTTTGTGACGTCATTGCTGATCATCATTTTGGTTGTTAGCCAGATCCCCACATTCATTGGTCCCCCATTAATGTCTAGCACTCGCGCGGTTCCTCTCCCAAGACTCAAGGCCACTTCTCCCATTGAGTACCGAAATTAAGTGCATTTCTTGTATTATTCCTTCATCACTTTTGTGTGTGATTTCATGTTTTTATTTCTTTTCCGTTTGGAATAATATGTGTAAGCAGACCCTTGCTCCATCATACTGTTGTTTGAGTTTTATAATTATTATTCTGTTTCAACCTCGCTTATGTAACTTCACCATTCATGGCTACTCCTCAACTCTACATGCGCATCACAAAGATATCAAATCATTATAAATATTAATTATACATTTAAACAAAATTGATATTTTAAATCCACATGTGATTGTCTATACATAGAACATGTGTATAAGGATGCCATGTCTACTTCTTAAACAAAATATGTATGCTAATCACCAATATCATATAGGTATAATTAAATTCCATATACACACAGTACAATGAGAGTTTCGACTAATTAATTGGATTAACTAAATCATCTATGTGATCAAATTATGATTGCTCATTGATTATAGTTGATATTTTAAAATCAATATGTGATTATTTATGCATGCACTATAGAAGAAATACTGTGACTACTCCTCATCAACTCTCCACGCTAATCACAATTGTCAACTATATGTGTTTAAATTTCATATATGCACAACATAATAGAGAACTTAACCAATTAATTTAATCAACATAAGTGACTAAATAACTAAAATTAAATTCTTCCACTATTTTATGCACCCAAAATTGTTTAAAAATCAAATTCAGCATATTCTAACTCAAATATAATTTTGAAAAATTCAAACAAATATATAATTGCCTCAAACAAAATATTTAAACAATTAAATAATGGGCAAAAGGATTTTGCGAAATTTTCCAATATGTTAAAACAGCCAAATTGATTTCTGTTATACTTAAACAATTTAAATGGCACATAAAATAGACTGTGTTAAACAGTTGCTATTTATTTAGCATAACAAAATACTGTAAATTAAAGCAATATGGCTCTCAGCTGCAAATAACCAAATATGAGCCCAAATAAAATTTCTCAAGGAATGAACTGAACAAACTAAACAAAGGTCCAAAAGGGCAATGTCCACTTCACTGTGCCCCCCTTTCTTTAATACAAAAACTCCAGAAACTGAAAGGGCGGTTCTGGGAAAAACATGAAAATCCCAGAAAAGCAGGGGACCAAGTTCCAATTTCCAGCAATTAAAATAATTTCGGTGGCAAAAACATTTTCTGAAATTAAACCAAGATGGGCCCAATCTGGAACATTAAAATGAAAAAAAAATCAGCAAAGAAATTGGTAGAGCCCAATGTTAACGAAACCAGAATTTAATAAATTAATTTGATCTGGAAGCTCAAATGAACGTGGTCCAGTTCGCGGGAAACAAAAACAGGAAACAATTTGAATTTTCACAAGCCCAAAGATTTAGGTCCAATTGGAAGGCAGAAATAAAACAAGTAAATAAACGAAAAATCCAAATTTTCGCAGCCCAAACTGAAAACTGAGTAAAATTAGATAAAATTGAATAAAGTTGCAGAGGCCCATGATGCCCGTCTGGCCCACTCGCCTTTTAACTGAAACAGTTCGTTTCATGGGCATTTGGATGGCACTCATTTTTGGGCACAACAAAACGATGTCGTTTCGCCCTTCTTCTTTAGTCGGACGGGTTAACCTACCCGGCCCGTCTCAGTACCGCTAACAGACTCCCATGTTGCCATCACTGCAATTTTCGGCCACCGTTCCCGGCGGCTTTGGGCCATTTTTCCGTTTAAAAGGACGCTATTTTCTAGCGTTCTTGACTGCGGTGAGAGTGAAATGATGAGCAAGAAACAACTAGAAGCATGCTGTTGTCAATGATTTCATGAAAAAGTGTGTGAAAATCCGAGTTGAATTTTTTCGATAGGAGGATATTCTTAAGTCTAGAGATGGGAATAAGGCCCGATCCTACAGGGCTAAAATTTCAAAAATATCTCAATTTATTAGATCCGATCCTTAAGCTAATGAGTTCAGGGTTGGCTCGCGAGCTTTCAGCTCGTTGAAGAAAAAATGTTATTTTTTACATTTCTAATATTTTTTTATCCAAAAAAAGAAAATAAACTAATAAAATTATTAATAAAAGACATAAATATGAATAAAATTAAGTTACAAATATAAAATATTATCATATATAAATATCCATAAACATCCAAGAAAATCTAAAACATTTATTAATAAGATAACATCCAAAAGTGTCATCTATAGTGTAAATGTACAATAAACAAACACTATTATTAATCTTTTGAAACTTCATTATCACTATAATCAATTACTCTTCTTAATAAGTATGCTTTTCTTTCATAACAAAAATATCAAGTTTTTTTTTCTTTATAAGAATTTCAATTTTAAAGTTTGCAATCTAGCTATTATTTTACTTTAGTTTGAGAAACATTATTGTCGAAATTTATAAATTTTTAATTCAAATTATAGAATCACAAGTTATATAAGTATAAAAATACTCTCTTATCAAATGTATATAATTTAAAAATATCAACTTTACTCAAAAAAAAAAAATATCAACACATATAATATAAATCAAATCATTATTAAAATCCAAATTAACCTATTTTTTAAAAATTTAATTGGACAAATTATTCTCTAAAACTAAATAAATCAAACCATTTCGTGAAATTTAATTTTAAAATTATAATAATAAGTAAATATTTGTAATATTATTAACAATATAAAAAATTAATAATATTATAATTACACAGAAAATTAAAAAAAATAATAGAGCCTAAACCGGCCGGCCCTCAGCCCTGCAGGGCCGGTCTGTTTAAGCCCTTGGCCCTATAAGGCTGGCCCTGCAAGGTCTATTTCTCATTTGATGGGCAACACTTCAAGTTTAGCCCTTATAATTTTTGCGCTTAAATGGGCCAGCCCGACAAGTTCGGCCTGTTTTTTCGACTATATTCTTCACCAAGAAAGTTAAAAATAAATTTTAACAAAATCTGTTGAATTTTAAAATTCCAAATCACTACTGGTTACTGTACTTGTAAAGAAAATAATTATCCTCAAAAAACAAATCACGACATATTTTTATCGTAATTCTTAATTTAAAATTCAAAAATTCAAAAATTATTTTTTTTTTGGAATTTTAATTAGTACTCTATTTATTTTAACTTTATCAAATCAGAATGCATTTTGTTGGTGTAGAGCACTCCAAGGATAATTGGCCAAAAAAATTATTTAAAAAATATATCATAAATTTATATAAAACTAAAACAATATCTAACAATTCGCGATGCGAAGTTACAGCGCATTTGAAAAATAAAAGAGCTAGATTACTTAACTCTTACCATAAACATTAAATTCGTTAAAAAGACTTTCACATATTATTTATCCCTTTTTTTGGATCTGTTAATTATTTTCACATGTATTTCTTTTTTTTAAGCCAAATTTTCACATGTAATTATAATTTATAAATGCTTAGAAATAACCAAATTTCTACGACAAAGTCAACTTTGTGTTCCCGCTGACGAATGTCCAAAGAGCCGACAAGTAATATGTCCATATTCAGCTTAAAATTATAGAAAGGAGGGTTAACATCTTACACGGTGTCCGCTAATTTTTTTTTTGGCCAACCCATTAAAAAATTAAAGTCTATCTACTGATTTTATAATTGGACAAGACCATAGATACCAAATTAATGTTCAATTTTTAATTACCTATATTTAATGCACCATTTGCATGTAAACTAATAAAATACCATCGACCATTATATTGACTATTAAGTAAATAATGATGAAAGGAAAAGAAAATTGTGGAGGAGAAAGATCAAGCATCTGAGAAAAGTGAAAACATAAGTTATTACAGGGGCTCATAATGGGAATTTAGATGAGACACATTGATTTGAAAAAGAAAACAAATAAACATAAATTTGTCTGACAATTTTTTTCCAAAAAAGCCAAATCTTGGCTTTAATTATTTGATAATTGTTTTTTAGGAACTGTCAACTAATTATAAATTTCTCAAAATTCAAAAAAAAAATGTTTGATGACTTTTTTGAATAACACTTATTTGGTGGTTAAGATATAACCTTCAAATAAATATCAACTCCGCTTCGGTTACTTGATATTTTTCTGTTTTTTGGATTTCTTCATTGGTATCCGACACTAAGGGTGTGTTTGGGTGACACCCCAAACCATGGTTTGGGGAATAAATCACCCAAACACCCCTCCAAAAACCAAAACCATGGTTTTGGGTCAAAACCATGATTTTGGAAAAAGCAAAATTTTTTTGCTTTTGGAGAAAAAAGGGAGAGTATGAGAGCCTATATGATATGTATCTTGTTATATTTTTTTATAAACATATTTAATCTTATATTTTATAAATATATATACATATTAATTAATTATTAATTATATTATCTTATGTATTATTAATTATGTTGGTAGAAAATATATTATTAACAATTTTATTCCTTCAAATTAAAATATATCATAAAATCTATTTTTTCTGTAATTATCATATTAACTTATGTCTTTTTTTTAGTAATTTATATATATAAAAAGTGCTTCTGATAACAACTATCCAAACACTCTCACTTCTCAGAATCACTTTTTTACAAAATCTATTCTTCACAGAATCTATTCTCCCCAGAATCTATTCTCCAAACCACGATTTGGTTTCATCCAAACACACCCTAAGACTAGTCCGGTTGGCTGGATCGTAGGCCCACAATGTGCGGAGTCTCATTACCACCGAATAATTATCACGGCTGCGTATCCACTACTCGAGCACCGGACTACTTGTTAAGTAGCCGATCCAAGCGCTTGTCGGTTGCTGCTTCTCTGCTCAAACAGAAAACAAATATCAAGCATTAAGAAAGTCAAATTTTGTAGTAGTAAGTTTTGATTGTTCAAATACAACGTCTCAAATTTGAGTTTTTATGAACACAAAAAGTGTTTTTAAAAGAAGTATCTCCAATTAAGTTCAACGAATATTTGAACCTGACTTGATTAAACAAATGTGCGGGTGTAACAAGATAAGCGACATAAACCTGCCTAAATTCATAAACTTCTTTTCTTTTTTTTTTTTAAATTCCCGAATATACGTGCGCTGCCCAATTTCAATTTCAATACTATCATCAACATTTCTGTCCAATATATAATAATCGGGCATGACTTCACTCTCAATTATTGAACATTTTTTTATGCTGATGAATTTAAAAATAGAATTATGTCAACATTCCTCGCGTTATCAAGTATCAATGGCACATTCCCAACAACCACCATATATACTAATGTATCTTTTCACCATCAATACATGAAATGCTTCCTTCTTTTTGAAGGTAGAGTCGCCATTTATATTTGCTGAGTAAACGTTTTTGTTAAATAAGACTAACAGTGTTAAGATTAAGAAATTTAAAATACACTTTTTAAACTTGAGGGATAAAAGTGAAACTTGACGAAAGTGTAGAGAACCAAACATATGTAAAATGCATATGTTTTAGAAGAATCATCTTTATAGAGATTATTCAAATAAAATAATATTAACAATATCCAAACCAGCTGAACTGGAAACCACCAGAGAATTACTTTTATGACTAAGCTTGAACCATACTGGAAACGGTGGCTTAGCGAATTAGAATGAACCAGTCTTTAAGAAAAAAAACAACAAAAAAAGAAGAGAAAACAACGAAGACGACCAAAGAAAATTGAAGGCCAAGAAGAGGAAGCAGCAAAGTTAAAAAGAGAGGGGGGGGGGGAGAACAAGTGGAAGAAGAAAAGACAAGAGAAAGCGCGAGGAAGAAGACAACCATATGTTGCCATTATTATTGTTTCTTTTCTTTATTTTAATCCCAAATCTGCAGTTTCTTGCCTCGTTATACCTCCTTTCTTCAAAAGCGCCCATTCCTCACGCTAAGCAAGTCTGTCTTTCGCTTTTGCTCGTTCTTCAAACACGTTTTTGCTGACGGGTTGTTGAAGTTGAAATTTCCTTGAATTTTCGTCCGGGAAGAAAGATTTAGGAGGACGTATGGTCTACTTGGTTACCATATAATGCCTCTTTGTTTGGCTCTCCACGCTCATCTTTGCTTCTTCAGGATTTGGTCCGGGTGAAGTTACAATCTCATTCTCCTATTTCTTTAATTTAGTAAGCCTCTGCTTCTTGACATCATTGACTTCGTCTTCTTGGTTGTTGTTAGTTACATTTTCTCCCCCCTCATTCATCTTCTCTTTCTTTAAGTTTTTTCCTTCTTTTAGGTGTCATGGTAATTACATTTTCTTTTCGGAGGTTCTTGTTTGGTCTGGTCTTGCATAACTATGACCTATGGTTCTCATCGACATCATTTAAATTTAATTTGCGAAGGGTTTAATTGTAATACTCAATTTCAGAAATATATGAAATAGACAAGTGCGGCGAGATTAAAAATATACCTTAATTTTACATTTCTAGTTTCTAATTTAGATTTTCGAGTCATTGTTTGGATAAACATTCTTACAACGAGGAAAAGAGAGTTGGCTTAAGATATAGTTTACCATCAGTGGATCATATAAAAATGAAATTGATCAGACTTGAGTTATATTTCGTGTTTATATTTAACTTCTTTCTGATTATGTCATGTGTATGTTTTCTATACGTGGTAGTCTTGTTTGGTACGCCCCAACTTTTTATGTAGCCTATATATATACACACACGCATAAAGTTTAATTACAGCATTTGAATATAGTTTGCAAGAGACAATGAGTTCGTCAGTACGTTCTGTGGAAGAAAAATTGGAGAAACTACGAAGGGATATTAGAAGAGGCAAGTGGCCAGAAGTATTTGAAACGTACAAGCAAGAAAGGGCACTTCGAACGGCCAAGATAACAGTGATGGGAGACACTGTGTTACACATGGCCGTCTCTGATGAGGAAGAGCAGGTGGTGGCAAAAATGGTGGACTTGCTAGTTCTTGAAGAGCAAGTTCGTGCCCAGAATAATGTGGCGCTTACGGTGGATGGAGACGGCGAGGGGAGTCAGAACATGAACATCATTCTTGGGGCTAAGAATGATAGAAACAACACTCCTCTGCATTTAGCAGCAACAGTGGGAAATATTAAAATGTGTAAGAAAATGGTGGAGTAGATGTGGAACCCTCCTTAATTGCTCGCCGTAATGTTGCCGGAGAGACACCCCTTTTTCTAGCAGCTCTAAATGGCAAGAAAGAAGCATTTCTTTGGCTTCATTATCAGTATATGAGAAGCAGTGGTGTTTCTTCAACTAACATTGCTCACTGCATAAGGGACAACAACGATACAATTCTTCACTGGGCAATTGCAGAAGAGCATACTGGTAAATCTAAACTAACATTCACCATTTCTCATATTGTTAACGTACTTATGGCTAAGTATTGCTAAGTGCAGATGTGGCAATTGAAATTGTTCACCTTTATAAAGATCATCTGAAAGAGATGATGGGGCGTAATAAGGAAGGGTTGTCTCCCCTTCATCTTCTAGCAGCAGAGCGTTCAGCTTTCAAAAGTACTGCCCTCCTTGAACGATCGATCTTTGTTCGTCCAATTTATCGTAAGTTCTATGCTGTCCATTAAGGGAATGCAACGTGTATACATATATATGTGTCTGTAATTTCATCCTTGAATTTCATCTGTTGCGATGCAAGCTTCCTATAACAACGATTGAAAACCATTTTATAATGTTGAATATCGTTGATACTGACAATAGACCTGTCAAGAGTACAAATACTGCCATACAAATAAACAAATTAGCTTAGATATACAAAATTTTATGGAAATAGCTCATAAATGTTGACTTAATTTTACAAACTTCGCTCTATCAAGGATCAAGTAAAAAAATTTCTAGAATGTATCTCATATTAAAGACTGGAGGGACTATATCATTTGGCTTTTAGGTTTGGGAAGGGGTTTTGAAAGTTAAGAAGAAGAAGCAAGCCACGACAATGGAAGAATTGGAGAAACGTGAACGCAAACTGTGCGTCAGGGACCTCTTGCGCGCATTTGTCAACAACGTTGTTAGATGTAAGCATGATTTATTACAAGCATTATTGTTCTTCATTAAGTTCCTCAGTTGTCATTCTTCCATTGCAATTATAATTTTTTGGTGCTCTCATATATTTATATGTGTGTGTGTGTGTCCGAAAAGAATCATATCCTATATTTTTCAAAAATCAAAGTACTGATGCATTGGATATGTTTCTGTAAATTTATTAAGAGAAAGTTTGAAAATGATACATATCTCCATTTTATAATGCGGAATATGGTTGAGAGTTCTCGAATGTTGTATATGGTCTCTTTTCAACAACAAAAACACACTCTTCTCAAGAGTGCAAATATGGGTGTGTGTATTTTTTTTTTTTTGTTGAAAAAATGGTCATCATGCTTTTTATATTCATTGTGTTGTACATTATAAAAATAATAATATGCGTGTGGCTTAGCTTGTTTATTTGGAACTTGGAAGGGTTTTTAAGAGTTAAGAAGAATAAGCGTGCCATGACGAGGGAAGGATTGGAACGCCGTCAATTCGGAACCGGGGTTCTGTGCAATGCGTTGTATGATTCTGCTGAAAGTAAGTATGATTTACGAGCATGGTTGAAAAAGATGGGTACCCCCAAAGCCTTTTGTATCCCATTAATATTACACACACAGTATAAACCAAACTACCGAAAACTGCGAGAAAGGCCAGGTCTGACGGTGACCCATATACATGACAAAATTGAATAGTGCAGTCACTTTGTCATTGGCTTTCCCAACATCTGAATATTTCTTTTTCAACAAAAAATTTACATTGAAAAAATTTAAAGGGCGATATGATTATCAATAATTATTGTTTGGGAATCAAATGGTATATGGTTTATTCATGCATTTTTCTTTCTCATATTTGCAGATCATCTTGATGATGATGACGGCAATGAAGACTGCTCTTTGGCCGTGATGACTGGGGATACACTTTTGTGTCTGCTTGTGCTTTTGATTTTGTTTCCGCTATGCCCCCTAATGATCTCCGAGGATTTATTTTTATTAGCAGGTAATACGCCACGTCAAAATACATAAAAGAGCATACATGTATGCTTATGAGATCCATCAATGGACACTTTTCTTTCCCTCTTTTCATGTTTGGTTTTAATTCGATCTAGAGTTGAATAGAAGTCATTTTGAACATATATATATATATATATATATATTATTTTTCTTATATAAATATAAATTACTTTTGAGTAATTAATTTTTTCCAAAACATTTTATCCCTACTGACTTACGTACGGGTCATGGATATATTCATAGAGAGGTGGCTGCATCGGATACGGAAAATGAAGAAGAAGCACAAATGGTCGCTTCAAATAATGAACGAACTTCTTCAACATGCTTCTGAGGAAGATATGTCTCAAATAATATCAAGAACCACCTCTGAGCAGCTTTCAATTCTCCAGCAACCAGAACAGAGTTATGGTATGAAACTTCATGAAAACTGGAAGATGTTAGTTTATAAAGCATTCTTATTATACTTTTCATATATAGAACTTGATATTATTGAATCATAAATCATTCTTCACCTGCAATGCTCACAAAATGTCTCCCGACAAATTTATGACACACTGGTGAACCCCTTTTTTTTTTTTTTTTTATCACCAAAAGATAAAATCGTAAATTACATCTAGGGATGTTCTCTAGTTCCTTTGAATTTTGACGAATACTCATATACAAGATTAGATCAATCCCGCATTCAATTTTCTAGGATGTTTATTTATGAACATGTTGTGATGCTATGGGTTCAAGATTCAATACTTTCAGCTGTTACTCTTCCAGCCATTCCTTTCTCATCCTTCTTAATAATAATAATAATAATAATAATAATAATAATAATAATAATAATAATAATAATATGTGTGTGTGTGTTCGTTGTTCCTAATACACACACACATATGCACGCGCACACACTCTTTCAACGATAGTCGTATGCATAAGTGTGTATATATGTTATGGTAACTATTACGGCTGTATTTTCTTTGTTAAAAAAAATCATGCAATTATAAACTAATTAATGTTGTGATTTGGACAATGCATGGCGTTGGTGGATAGAGAGGGAGTCAATGGCGATGCCACCATCTCGTACAACAACAATTGAGACACCCTTAATGATTGCTGTGAAGAATGGTGTGGTGAAAATGGTGAAGAGGATTTTGAAGTCCTTTCCATCATGTATCAAGGATGTGAATATTAACGGAAAAAATGTAGTTATGCTGGCAGTTGAATATAGGCAAACGAATGTATTCTGGTTTTTGTACAAATAAAGAAGGCTAAGTGAAAGTCTGTTTTGGCAAGTAGATAAAGAGGAAAATACTGCATTGCCCTTGGCAGCAAGGCTTGGAGTGGAGGCTGATTGGCTAAATCCTGGGGAAAAATTCATTATGTCAAGAGCACTCAATTGGTTCAATGTGCGTATCTATATATTTGTTCTACTTTTTTTATTAATGAGGTCACCAATCAAAAAATTCTTATCGATTAATAAAGGGTTAAGGTGCGCCCAGCATCCCAAATTATTTACCCAGGTGCGTCCAGTGGCCTAAAGTAATTTTGGGTGCATTCAGTCTCCTAAACTAATTAAAATGGTGCGTCCATATCCCAGGCTAACAGAAATGTTATGTTTAACTGTTACTTTCCTGACTCAGCTTAAAGTTGACCCCAGATATTCTACATGGTGCAACACCTTACTTTTATATATACTAATAGGATCATTTTAACGTTTGTGAATCACTAACGCCAGGTTTCCGTCCTGGGAAAAGACAGGGAATTTTTTTTTCCTTTAACATTGGAATCCGTTGATCAAATATTTCAAACCTTCAAATAACTGATGAGTGATCCAATATCAACCCTGCTTTCAACTTAATCTATTGTCACCTAAAATAATTTCATACTATATAATCTTATAATATTATATTAAAAATAAAGCAACGCTCTTGGTTGACAGCATATACTTGCACCTGGCAATGCTCACTTCCTTCTTCTAGAGGATACAAAATAATATTTCCATAGAGCAAGTAAAGTTACTTGCCCATATATTTTGCTATACAATTTACAGAATTATAACAGGTATCTCTGCTCTTCAACCAGCTCACCTTCTTCTCAAACAACCTCCTTATCCTTCGAGCTACTAGCTTTCACTGTTCATCATAAATTGGAGGGTGAGATTCGAATGAATGAATCCCCGTAGTAGTAATTTCCATCAAACAAATGTGCAGATTACATAAAGCATGCAAAACAAGCCAAAGTGGAACATAACCTTGCAAGCTAATGCAATTAAGCATTTATGCGCAATGACAGATAGACAAGCTGAATAAATAATGCGCAAATAATTGGCAATCACTGCCCCATGTCTATTAGACAAGCTGAATAAATAATGCGCAAATAATTGGCAATCACTGCCCCATGTCTATCAGCTACACGTGATCACGGCTAAATAATCCATGCAAGGAATTAAGGATTACATGTTCTCATGCTTTAGAAAAGCAATATGACACAAACAGACATGCAGCAATCATACACAAGTGTAAGGTAGGAAAAAACTACTACTTGGTCCGCATCCCTCCAAATCAAACCTTACCATTCTCCTTTCTTTCTATTTCTTGGTGGGCTTGAGCAGATATAAAAACCTATCATATTAGTAAGGTAGATCAATACTTTGTAACAAAATATCCCTTGGTTCAAAGTTTCACATTTTAGAGTTCTAATCAATTTTCCTCTTAAAAATTCAAAAGCCCCCAAGCTTCAACCATTTCTATTCACCATTCGATCATATAACAAATTAACTTACATAATCATCACTTATCATTATCATTCAAAACCTTAAGAACAAATCATACATGGTTCTCCTCCTAGTGAATTCCATTAAACTCCATCTCTCAAACTCACACTTGAATCTCAATAAATTTTTATCCTCAAACTCAAAATCATCCCCTAATGCATTCAGACCCGATTCATTTATCAAAGTTAATTGTCCAACAACTTTTGTTGACGTGAAGAATTTTCCAGCTCTAGGCTACAACTTATGGCACTTCAAACATATGCCCGGTAACCTTGTAGCCATTCCTAGGTTCCTCAAAACTTGCGATTTCACCATCAATCTTATTTATATATTACTAAGATGGTGTCATGTTATTATATATATACCCATCATATCGCCTATTCCTACTTCCTAACACCCTTCGGACATCACTAATAATATTTATACCTGTATATATTGATTTGCCTTCACTTCTTTCCCTTTTATAGAAACAGAGCCTATTAACCCCACACTTCTATGGCATCAGCGTGTAAATATATACATTTACACTATCTTAGATTCTAAAATTTCACCCCCACCGTCACACTCGTGCAATCAAACATATATATAATCACCTTCTTTCATCGTTCCATACCCAAAATAAGACGCCATTATTAGAAATCATTCAACCCCTGTTTCGAAGGCCACAAACCGACATGCAACCAGAAAATATATACATATATATATTCATCACTTCAATTCCACAGAACCCGACGCCAACCCCTGAACTATTAAACCCAGTTTCGTCGGTCAACCCAGCAGCTCCACTCCTAACAGCATCGTATTAACGTTTCTATAACCCAAGAACTGAGGTTTATTATCTGGTTACCCAGGAATAACGAAGCCACAGCTATGAATATATAAATCTCTGTTTCGGCTATCACAAAACAGAACCACCCTTCACTTACAGCAACAATAAGCGACATATAATGGACATGCAAGCTAAAAATCATACTCCATTATCATCAACAAGCATTACTCTTTCATCATCATCAAGGTCCAGCCTTCATTGGGAGTTTCTCTCACTAAAACGTATATCTCTCTCTCTCTTCGACATCACCGGAAATATGACCGAAACCAGAAAATAAAGATAGTGATGGACATATGAAGCTCACCTTGACAGTTTAACCGGTTTGCATGCAAGTGTAGCTCCTCCGATCACCACCTCCGTCGCCAACTTCTCTCTCTCGGTCAGTCTCTCTCTCGTGCTCTCTCTCTCGTTCTCCTTCTCTCTTTTTTTTCCCCTCTGTTAGACACCGAATGAATGAAGCGTAACGGTGGTGATCAGCTGATACATGGAGGAGTGAATCAGACGCGTGGATGACCAGCTGTTGAATGGAGAAATGATTCAGATGTCTTGAGGAGAAGGCAGCACGTATATTGTATAATTGCTGTACCATTTTGTCCTTCTAAATAATTACTCCTCCAATCCTATCCCTTCTCCTATTTTTCTGAAATATAAGATAGATCCAGAAATTAAACCAAAATATCATAAATGGATTTTTCTTATCCATTAGCTTCATTGACCCATAAATAATTTTCCTAAGAATTTCAGATCAAAAGTCCACTCCTGACTATTTTTCTGAAATTTTCCAAAATATTTCTAAACCTTGAAAAATCAATATTCCATAATTTTTCCCAATTGTGATTGAGCTATTAAATAATTTTAATGAACTTTCTCTTTTTTTGCTCATCTTGAGTTAGAAAATTCGGGATGTTACACATGGTAGACACATGGGCACCCCATGTGTATTATCCTTACTCAAAAGTCAATTTATTTAGAAGAAGAGGAAGGAAATAAATTCAATTTTAAGTTAGAATAATACATATCAAATGCCCATATGTCTACCATTTAGAATATCTGTGGTCAACTTTAAGCTGAGTCAGGAAAGTAACAGTTAAACATAACATTTCTGTTAGCCTGGGATATGGACGCACCATTTTAATTAGTTTAGGACACTGGATGCACCCAAAATTACTTTAGGCCACTGGACGCACCTGGGTAAATAGTTCAGGGTGTTGGGCGCACCTTAGCCCATTAATAAATTAAAGCCTATCACTGTTTAAGTTGATTGGCGTTTATTTGATATCAAAATATATAAACATGAAAGTAGATATTTATGTAGATATGGTGATGCAGTTTGTGAAGGATTCAATGCCCCCTGATTTGTTGAAGAGATATAATAGGAAAATGGAGACCCCAGATGATATCTTCAGAGAATGTCACAAAGAATTTATGAAAAGCGAGAGAAAGTGGACGACTAAAACCTCACTAGCATGTTTGATGGCGTCAACCCTTGTTGCATCCGCGGCCTTCACAACATGCACCAATGTGCCAGGTGGTTATGATAACAAGGGCTATGCAATCCATAGAAACAAACCAGGATTCCAAAAGTTTAGACTGTTTTCATATTTAGCCCTCTACTTATCCGTCATTTCCATCATTTTCTTCCCGTCCATAGTTGCTTCTCCTTCCCAATATGTTCACTCTTGGCGATACATTCCTTCCAAGCTTCATTGTGGCATGCTCTTTATGTTCTTCTCCATTTTTCTTATGTGGGTCTCTTTCTGTGCTGGTTATTTGGTCATGCTTGATGAGGATTATCAAGCATTGCGCCTTCTTCTTCTAGTTTGCTTTTTGTACTCATCGCTGATCATCCTTTTGGTTATCACGCAACTCCCCACATTGTGTCTTCCTGACCTGATTCTTGGCCCTAGACGCAAGGCTACTCGTCCCATTGAGAACCGAAGGACCAACAACGGGCCAAACGACACAGATATTTAAAAGCTTTTGTATGTTGAGTTGATGTTTTTATTTCTTTTCTGTTTGTATTTTGTAATACTATGTGTGACCATATCTCACTCCGTCACACTGTAGTTTTAGTTTTATAATTATTATATTTTTTTCTACTTCACTTATATATGACTTAAACCTATTGAGTAATTTAATTAATTGGATCAATTAATTTAGTTATAGGGATAATTATCACTTGTAAATGTCATTATGATGCCAAAATGTGAATGAATATGAGTTAGTGTGAAAAGTTTTACATTGGATAAAGTTGGGATTAATAAGAAAAATATAATAAAATGTAATGATTGATAAATTAAACCTTAAACTTATGAAAAAGAAGAGCTAGTGCTCCGAAGGTTCTTTCCCTTTCCTCTGATGCGTCAGGTGTTAAGGGCCAATTTTGAAGGGAATAGGTAAGATGACATGAAAACCAAGAGCTTGCAAATGAGAGGAGAGGGCACTTTAGTCTACCATTATGCTTTTGTTTTTTTTTATTTT